TGTTTTTTTTTTCAAGGTCCTAAGCTACGCTTATTGTGTAAGTGCTAAACACCACTCGGTTGGATTGACTAGGTTTAAAGCTTCGAACCCATTAGTAAGAATTCAAAATTCCTGACTTAAACTAGAACTTATCTCTTTAATGCCCATGCATTTCCACTTCATATTCTACGAAATTGGGAAAAGATTTGTTTGTTCTTTTATCGTGATATCATTTCACATGCTCCTGTATAGTTTTACTTCAGTTTATTATCATATCTCTTTTTTTAATATATGCCTTATTACACATTACTTCTTACTATTCTATCTAATTATTAAATCATTAAACATTGTTTGATTGAATCTCTTATTTGATTAAGTAAATAATAATTAATTGGTTCATTCAAATTTTATATACATAAATAACAAAAAGGAATATATATATATATATATAATCACATTTTTTTATTGTCAAAATATAAAAAAAAGTTAACAACATTAATCGTTACTATAGTGATTGTTTTCTTTTCTCAGAGCTTAAACAAGATCGATTTTCAAGAAAACCATCAAACATAAAAATTTAATTTGAAAGATAATCACCAAAAAAAAGAAAACAATAATCGGCTCAATTAAATGTAATTAGTAAATATTTTTGATTGAGATCATGAATCCGTTGATGTTAGACCACCAATGAAAACCTGTAAGCACTAGACGGCCGTCTCATCCTATTGTGAAACTCCTCAGCAGTGCGCATCCACGATCCCGCTCGCGGGGTTCGAACCCGCGAAAATTACCATGTGCACACTAGTGACTAGCTTCGTGAGAAAATTCTCGGAGTTCTGGTGAGAAGCCGTGACCAGTGGAGCTAATCAGTGTCGGTAGAGACAGGTGTCTACCTCAGTACAATGGAAGATGCTCGCGCAATTTCGTGGATTGGTTGAGGTTAGATATTAACACCATTGGGTGCCGGCTCAGTGGTCCAGTAGGTTAAGCGTTCGCGCGCAAGACTGAAGTTCCTGGGTTCGAATCTCACGGGTGGGATCGTGGATGCGCACTGCTGAGGAGTCCCACAATAATACGAGACGGCCGTTCAGTGCTTCCAGGTTTTCAATGGTGTTCTAACATCAATCGGTTCATGATCTCAATCAAAACCTAACAATCTCCACAACCCCTAAAAACTGGTAATTAGTAAATAATTGAAAAAATTATTTCTCTATGATAATTAATGCTTTCTTATTAATGTAGCAAATATATTTGGCAATAGATTGTGTATCAAATGCGTCATCAGAAATTCTGTATAAGCTAAAATTATTATTAATGTGAAATGTGGTATAGATGTGTGTTGGCTGAAATTTCCGTACCAGAATAAATTGATAACATAAATAGCAATAGAGATTTTCAATAATATAGTAGCAATAATCACCAAATTACATCATGAGGCAAGCCCTGACACGGGATCCTGAAGGGAAGCGGAAAAGAAGAAGGTCAAAGAACACATTGCCCACCCCCAAGTGCCCTGGTACAGTCGAGAGTGGGGGGGTTAACTCTCCATCTCCAACTGCTCTCACATGGCCACGTGCATACAACTACTGTCAGGGAATTCCTATTCACTACCTTCTGGCTTTACTGTTGTTCACGAAATCGAGAGGACTAAAAGAGGATTCCGGTGCTTTAACCGGGTCGGTGGATACGGAGGATCCACCTAGGGGAGTTGGAAAACCCTGATTCCAAACCAATGGTGTACATGGGTTGGCTCCAGGATCCTGAAGGAAGAAATTATGTATGAACCAATTATTGGTCACCGACTACCATAGGACTGCATCTCCTAACGTTGCTCCACTGCCTTGTGGATTAGACCTTTAGGTGGAAGGCTCCGGGTCTGGCCTTTTAAGAAAACCACCTGCTTCGGTTTGGGCACCCGGACAGTATCGCAGCCCTCACACAAATCACTTGACTTGTGTGACGCATATCCATTTGGTGCTTCCCCGTACCAATATTTATGTGTTTAAATAAATAAATAAAGAACATATTAGGTTGGGAAATGGAAGCAGATATGAATAGGATGAATAACAACTGGAAAGGATTACCTAGGACAGGGTTGGATGGAGAGTGCTGGTAGGCGGTCTATGCTCCTCCACGAGGAGTAACAGGTGTAAGTAAGTAAGTAGCAATAATATTGCGAAAGACGAGGTATTTAAAAATATAGTCCATGAAGGTATGTGTCAAGGAAAACTAGAATTCATGATCAGGTATAAGATAAAGAGTAAATGCCTCTCCTCCACTACAAACGATTGTAAAACTTACTCAAAATATCCGGCCACTGATCGCGGTTATCACGAATTCAGTCAGTTTGGTCCTCACTTAGACCATAATTTTCGAAACTATTGTACACTTTACCAATTCATTTTTCTAAAACCGTATAGTCCATTCTTTATCGCTTCTACAGATACTGTTACCTCTGTAATTGCTATATTAGTATGTTGTGAAAGGTCCAACCAATGTATATATGTGCCAGATCTTATATTGGTTATGGTTGACTCGATAGAGCTTGTCATAAATTTCAACTTATAAGTCATAGTTTCAACATTATCTATTCCAAATGCCAAATACACCGTCGGAGACGGATATCTGTGGGATAAGGCGAGGTGTGCATTTTTAGGGTCGACCTTTTCTAACCCCACCCCTCCTTGTGGGAAAACAGCATCGCTGTCATGCTGGTTGTCTGAAGGAAACCTTACTGCTATCACACCTCTGTACAGTCAACAGTACCACTTCGCCTTCGGACCTTGGGTTTGTTGCTTTTAGTCTTACGCTCTTCAGCCGACCTGTCTGACATGGTAGGACCTTGAGGAACGGTTATTCCAGCCAGTATAGCTCGGTTGCTTTATCAGGATAGGCAAGCCCGACCACCACGTCAAGATAGCAACAACGGTCGGGAAGCAAATGTATATCCCTAAATATCCTGATACTCTCAAGGAAAGAAAGTCCTCTCTTCTCGAAATTATTTAATGGCGCTATACAATCATAGCATCTATCTACTCACTGTTTTCGTGTTTCGGTGGTGTTTTGGGAAATGAGTGGATACACAGCGAACGTTCAGTGCTTAGACCGGGGTCGTAGATATAGAAGATCTAGAAAACACTAACTGTAAACCAGTGATGTATATGGTTTCCATGATCCTGGTGGTAGGACGAATGTTCGGTTTGGGTACCCGGGCAGTATCACAGCCCTCACACATATCGAATGAGATTTGTGTGGCGCATATGTATTTGGTGCTTCCTTGTACCAATATCTATGTGTTAAAATAAATAAACGAAAGTTGTATAAATCTATTTTTTAGTTACTGGCTACCACGGGACGGCGTCTTTTGGTTTAGCTCCTCTACAGTGTGAAATTAAGTCAAAGGCCCATGGAGAGTAGCGCTTTAAGGAAACTTATTTCTAAAGTTGAAATCATGAGTCAATTGACAATAGACCACCATGGAAAACCTGGAAGCACTGGGCGGCCGTTTCGTCCTAGTATGGGACTCCTCAGCAATGCGAGTCCACGGTCCCGCCCCCCGCGATATTCGAACCCAGGACCTATCAGTCTCGCGCCGTTTAGTGCTTCCAGATTTTCCATGGTCGTCTAGCTTCAATTGACTCCTGATTTCAACTGTTGAAATTTCTAAAATCTCCACAAAACCACTTCTGATGAACATATTTCTGTTTGAGCTGCTGAGCAAAATCTTGCCCCGTATATAAATATTATTTATGTAAAACATACTATTTGTGGTACGTAGTTGTACCAGATTTTATGTGAACTAGATGAGTAAACAATAGTTGAGAGCATGTGCAATTAACCTACTAAATTATTGATTCGTTTGAACTTCTACATCCTTGCCTAAAATTACTTTACTTACTATAGTACTTTCTAATTAAGTTGTAGTAATCGTCTAATCAAATTCATTTTCATTGTTTCTGAATTTATGTAAGACTAGAAGAAAATGTTAATATAACAAACAATATTGAGACTATAGCTTCCAAAAAGTTATCTAATTACTCGACAATACTTGCTTGGTATCAATTTTCAGTCTCCGGTCGTAAATCACTGCACTCTTAAACTAGATGTTACGTCACATATAATTGATTCATTCAGAATATTTCTGCATTACTATACGTTGAGATTCTATATACCATTTACATATTTATTCTATTCATTTATTTAAACACATAAATATTGGTACAAGGGAGGCACCGCTTACATATACGCCACACTTCATCATTCGATTTATGTGTAGGCTTGGATTACTGCTCAGGCACTCAAGACATTTACATACTGTAGCAATTTATAAAAAAAATAAGTTCAATGGTTGGGATCATGAGTCAACTGAAGCTAGACCACCATGGAAAACCTGGAAGCACTGGACGGCCGTTTCGTCCTAGTATGGGACTTCTCATCAGTGCGTATCCACGACCCCGCATCGCGGGATTCGAACACAGGACTTATCAGTCTCGCGCTGGAGCGCTTAATCACTGGACCATTGGGCCGGCATCCAACGGTGTTAATGTCTAACTTCAAATAATCCGCGAAATTGAGCGACAAATCCGCCATTGTCATCAGTGAGTAACTATCTCACAACTGACCTGGTTGAAATCCACTGATCACTGCCTCTCATTAGAACTCCTGGAAATACCTCTTGAAACCAGTCACTAGTGAGCATATGTTGATTAGTATCAGAAGGGGTTTTGTGGGTGTTGTAGTGATTTCAATAGTTGAGATGAGTCAGTTGAATCTAGACTCATGACTTCAACTATTGAAATTACTACAACACCCACAAAACCCCTTCTGATACCAAAAAAAATAAGTGTGATTTTTACACTTAATTAATCACAATAGGCTTAATTATGAATCAGATTTTACTGTTAAGTGAACCCAATTAGAAAGACATAATTGTTCAGTGTATTCTATCCTTCCTTTCAAAGTTCACTTATTTGTTAGTTTTTTGAGTCTTTACTACTTTATGTATCCCGTTTTTTTTTCAGAGTTCACTGGATTCCATTTTCCCGCAACCAAATACTTTAAATCAAAGAACCACAACAAACATATCGAAGATAATAACAAACGATAAATCACATCGAAGTAAATCTTCAACTGTTCCAAATGTCATGAAAATTGTACGTAAAAGTTATGATACACTAGATGTTGGTAGAAGTCGTTATGAAAAACATTTAAAAGTTGATTCTGAATTAATTGCTGTACGTTGTTGTTTTTTTCTTTCTTTTCTATGTAACTGCTAATAACTAGGCGAGAGTATTATAGATCATTTTCATATGACATTTTTCATCAATATTCTTATTTATTCAGTATGCCATAGTTTCATATTTTATCCGTTGGAGGGTTTCATTGTGACTGGTCCTCCGTTGTAGCTGACTAATTCATGACATAGTGTTACAACGATAACAGGTTCATGACAAAATCAAACTTCTATTGTGTGAGTTTGGAAACTGAATATGCACTGTCACGATCGTTATTTTGATTAAGATTTTCTTCATAAAGTAATCATTGTCTACAAAATGGTCTGCTTTGGTGACTGATCTGAACATAGAAAGTCTAACTGATTGACTAATAAACTTATCCTTCAAGCTTCGTCAACCTTATCAGGTCATTGGCTGAGAATTTATCAGTACGGTTTATAAAAGCATACTTGATATTCACTGAGGTGCTTCACTTGTAGTGTAAGATGGGTGTCGACATATCATAAAATAAGTGTATCGCTTAGTAGACGACGTTGTGAAATTCCATTGACTGATGTGTTTGTGACATGTACCACACATCTACAACCAACTAACTGATTGTATAGTGGTAATCGGTAAGTGAAAAGAAGGTTAAGATTGGCTAATCTATGTTGTTGTTGAATGTTGGTTTGATCGAAGTATTGTGACTCAAGTTTACTGGTTAGGGTCCACTAAATTACTGTATTCATTTGTCTTTAACTTTAGATATCTGAAAATTGGTCACAGTGACTTAGGGAGATTCATTCTTCATCTTCTAAAACTTATGTGTTAAAAGTTTTTCCTACTTTGTATTCTATGGTTACACTCGTTATTAAAAACTATGTTCGGTATGCTAGGTCTGTCTGTACGTCGTTAAACAGAACCCAAGTTTTATAATAATTGCCGAGCGTTAGTAACGGGTACATGGGAGCTTAGGGGAGCTGGTGCTCCCTGTGGAACTCGAATCTACTTCATCAAACTTCACTGTCCGAGATGCTACTACTAATGTATTTAGGTCTTCCTCGACCTCGTGTAGGATTAAACAGTCATATCGATTGACAACTTGATAGTTACCAATGTCGTATTTGTCAAGTCCTTAGTGTTTACACCACAGACTGTTAAACTGTTTTTCCCTAGTTCGAGTCCCATAGGTAACATCCAGTCCCTCAAGATTGTAAATTCCCTTGACAATGAGTGTCAATTATCACGAAACCTAGGTGCAGGGTATCCTACTGACTGCCGCCAACCATTTAATGTAGAATTATAATGCACCCAATGTCAATGCATTCAGCACAGTTATCATATTCTTACTTTATCGATAGTGTTCGGTTATTGCTAAAAACAACAACTGAGAATTTTTCTTTATTATTGAATAGTTACAGCATAAGACCATACATTTGACACTAAATTCCTTCATTTTATGAAATATTCAATCCGATCATACAAATTCATGTATACAAAATATGACTTTGGAACTTGTAATCTAATCATTTATAATTCATTATATACAGTTGATTGATCAGTAAATAGTGACTAATTCTATATCTGTTTAGTCCTATTTAGTGCTGATCAAATTTTATTGATCAAGTTGTAATGTGATCATGAGTTGAAGTAAATCAACATCTCATATAGTATGTTGATATTTAAAAGGTTTCTTGTTGACTTCCTCTAGCCATCTAACGTAGTTCAATATTTTTTTTAATCATCGACATTTAATTAGTTTAACATTTGTTTTTATTAATTCATTTCTTTCTATCTTTTATAGCAACAAGTCACTTTAATTGAACTGGAATACTTTCAAGCAATCGAAGCAGATGTAAGTGGGTATTATATTTCCTATATTTACTTCCGTTCTTTCAACTCAGTCATTTAGTTATATGTAACATAGAACTTTCCAAATTATATTAGTTAGCATAGTGTCCTAAACTAGATGCTGACATATATCTCATACATAAATTCTAAATATTTTAGTCGATAATGCTTTACAACCACTTAAATTATGTGTTTAGTTCATTTGTTTACCGATCAAATTGTTTAGATCTTTTACTCTCTCTTTTTTTTCTCATTAAATTATGTAATCTGTTTAAGCCAGTTGTTAAAAGTAATCAACTATCATCATTACAATTTGTTATGATTTATATTACTACTCAGCTACTCTCATTGCTTAGTATTTTGGACACTTCTTCACTCGACAAGCCCCCAAATCAGAACATGGTTGGACAGGAACGTAATTATATTCCATATAACAAGGTTGAATAGAAGTAGGAATCACAATAAGAAAAACGTTAATGTATTTATAATTTTTACACAAGAAGATCCTAAAGTCTTCTCAAGTATCCACTAGCGCTGATTTGTTAAGAAATAGTCAATCAGTGTCCCCCAATACAGCCCTGGACGGAAAATGTTTCAATCCGATTTATATCCTGCGAACACAGTTTAACAATTACATATATCAGTATAAGGGTTGTGTAGATTGTTAAGTTTTGATTGAGATCATGAACCGATTGATGTTAGAACACCATTGAAATGCTGGGAGCACTGAACGGCCGTCTCAGCCTGTTGTGGGACTCATCAGCAGTGCGCATCCACGATCCCCCCTCAGGAATCGAACCCAGGGCCCTCAGTCTTGCGCGCGAACGCTTAGCCTACTAGACCACTGAGCCGGCACCCAATGGTGTTAATGTCTAACCTCATATATATGTGTGAATGTTTGAACTTAAAGAGCACAACACAATTAAAATATGCGCTACCTGATTATAATTTAGTAATTGAAAAATAACTTCAATACTTTTGAATGCTTAGCATAAGCAAGTTAAATTATTTTTTTTTATAGCGATGTCTTATTCTTTGAACCGAATAGTTTTTATGAAGAAACTTTCATTGTTATTTATGCTGATCGATAATGTCGTATAAGACAACATTGTATTTATTTAAACACATAAATATTGGTAAAAAGGGGCACCGAATACATATGCGTCACACAAGTCACTTGATTTATGTGTGAGCTGTGATATTACCCGGGTGCCTAGACTGAAGTAGGTGGTCCTCTTAGGGGGCCAAACCCGGGGCCTTTGACCTAGATTTCGGATCCACAAGGCAGTGGAGCAGCATAAGGAAATGTAGTCCCATGGTAGCTGGTGACCAATAATTAGTTCATGCGCCATTTGTTCCGTTAGAATCTCGGAGCCCATGTATACCATTGGTTTGAGATCAGGGTTTCCCAACTTTCCTAGGTGGATTCTCCGTATCCACCAAACCCGTTTAAGCACGTGACATTGACTTTTCGTTCTCTCAAATTCATAAACAACAGTTACTCTGCGAGAAGGCAGTGACTAGGACTTCCTTAGCAGTAGCTGGTTGTATACATGTGGATATGTGAGTGCATTTGGATAGGGAGAGTTGACTCTGGGCCATACCAGGGCATTTGATGGGAACACTGAAAATTTTTCAACTGTAACATCTAAATCATCAAAACAATATTATTTTACAAATACAAATTGAGTTACAGAAATTCATCTTAATTCAAATGTGTTAATAAAAATAAATTTTCGCTTACATAATTAAATGTGACAATTAAACACAGTGTAAAACAATGAAAAGAAAAACAAAACAAAAAACGATTAAACTGATATGTCTTGCTAATTGAACGCTGTATTTGCTTCCTAAGCTATTCTTGTAACCCCCAAGCTACAACTACGCAGCGACCGGAATACGAGAGAAAAGGAGCAAAATATGCAAGAAGCACTTTACCCCAATGGTTCGTTTGAGTACAGAAAATCTCGGGTTTTTATAGTATTTTAGATGTTCTTGCGTTTCCGGAAAATTCTAGAATGCTACTAAACATAGTAGTACTATAGGTAATCATTCAATCAGAAACTGGACATGTAACTTTTCACTTTCGAGATGTTTCCGGCGAAACGTCTAGTGAATGTTGATTGGATAAAATGCTTCTCAGTGTTTCCTGAGCCTTTCTTGGCTTATTTCGAGGACTTTTCTGAATCGCCCCAACAAAAACTAACAAGAATGTTAAGTGTATAACTTAAATGAAATTCAATTGATTCAAATATATTTACTAATTAGTTACTATACAATGAAAAACTATCAATTAACCATTTAACAAAAAAAGAAACAAATGCTCTTTCATTAGTTGTGTTATGCAATCATTATATGGTGTCACAATGAATATAAAATAATATCGAATTACTGAGAGAACAAAAGAAAGGAGATTATGATACTCAAATTTGAAAGCTTTACTCAAATCCATTTTATATAGTGTATCAATTAAATCAGATAGAATATCACTCTTAGTCACTGCTTTCTGTTCTTTACTAAACCACGTGGAATGGTATACCGCTATACAATGACAGCGAATTCTATACCCCATACGTGTGCCGCCTGTATATCTGGTGTCTTCTTGTACCAATATGCTAGGTTTCAAGCTATCACGAGTTCAATTAATCTGCGAACGGAACAAAGACTTGTGACCGTAGACCAATAAGCTGGGTATTTGATGCGTCCCAGCCCCGCTAACTAGAGGAAGAAGTCCTAACTTGGAACGAGAAAGTACATTCCGTAAGCCAGAAGCACGAGTGAATAATAACAGACACAAATCAAACGTATGTATACAGCATTAACTGTCCTTGGGAAGCGTAGCAAAAATAGCATACTAAAAATACACAACGGACCAATAGCGTTAAAGATTCTCCCAAGTGGGAAATACGACATGAAGGTGAAAAGAGCACTTTTGGCGCGAAAACAAGGAAATTTAAATCTCCAAAATAAAATTATAAAATTAAGGCATTTACCAAATGAGTTCTGGAGATCTAACATCCCAAACACCTCCCCCTTTTAATGACGTGCGTTTCTGGGGTCCACTTGCATTTTGACCGTTTGTTGTCGTTGTCGGAGTGACCACCATCTAAGTCGTAGATCGACCTGTCGATGTGCTTCTTCCTGTATCGGGAGTGCGGGTAGACTAAAGGTATCTAATAGGATGTCAAAAAGGAGATTCCCTTCTGTCGATGGGCGAACTGGAGCTAACCGCTTGCGTAGCTGGTTCCGATGTCGAGTCCACCTGTCTCTTCTTACCTCTACCTCGTACATGACATGGCCTAATTTTCCGACAACATGTGCTTTAGTCCAGAGACCATGATTTGGTCTGTAGTCCCGAGCAAACACCGGACATCTTTCCGCTGAAGTTAATGTGTGAGATGTGTGCATAATAGCTTTCTCTGTTGCGTCCGGGAGCTAATGTGACATGACAGCACCGAGTCCAAAAGCTGAAGCGTCTGCAGCGACAATGATAGGCATGAACGGATCGTAGTGTGTCAGCAATAGTCCAGACCTTATGATTGTTTTCAGCCTGCGAAATGCAGCTTCACATTCTTTTGTCCAGTTCCAGCTGGTATTTTTATTCAGAAGATGATTTAGCGGGGCGCGTATGTCATGCATCGACGGAACAAAAGCTGAGTAGTAGCTAATTTATCCCAGGAATGATCGTAGCTCAGAGATATTAGTGGGAGTCGGCATCAGCTTTATAGCTCAGATGTTTTCAGGATCTGGTCTGCGACCTGTGGCATCAAAAATGAATCCCAAGTATTTAACTGACTTCAAGAAAAGCTGGCATTTTTCTGAGCGTAATCGGAATCCGTTATCGCTGACGCGTTGTAGTACAGCTGTCGTGCGTTCTCAAAGCTGTTCTAACAATGTGGCAACAATCAAGATGTCATCGAGATAAGTTACGACCCCCAAGTTACCCGATAGAATGGTATCCATTAGTTGCTGAAAAATAGATGGAACTGTTTTAGCACCAAATGGTAGGCGATTGTACTGAAACAAGCCACGATGAGTATTTATGGTAAGTAACTCTCTCGAATCTTCAGCCACTTCCACTTGTAGATAGGCATCAGCGAGACCCAGTTTTGCAAAGAACTTCCCACCATTTAGCATTGTGAACAAATCTGCAGGGACTGGCAGTGGGTAATGATGCTGTTCGAGAGCTGCGTTAAGACCTGTGGAAAAATCTGCGCATAATCGGGTTGTGCCATTAGCCTTCTTAATAACCACAATGGGTACTGTTCAGGCAGAATAAGAAACAGGTGTAATAACTCGCTGTAGTTGAAGGCAGTTTAGTTCTTCAACTTTCGATAATGCTACGTACGGCACTGGTCTCTTTGGATAGAAAACAGGCTTAGCTCCAGATTTCAACCGATGTGTTGTCTTCATAGCAGTGCACTGACCCAATACAGGCTGGAAAATAGTTGAAAACTCCGTCATTAGTTCTTTCGAATATGCTTCAGGTTCATGAGATTTTTTCACCAGATGGTATACGGTGCTTAACGGAACGTCAGCTAAATGTAGCCGGTCAAGCCAGTCTAAACCAAGTAGATTAAGATGAGCTGGTGTGACGTAACATGATAAGTCTTGCGGATTGAACGCTATATTCGTCTCATAAGCTATTCTGTAACCCCCAAGCTAGAACTAGACAGAGACCTGAACACGAGGGAGAAGACGCAACGTATGCGAGAAGTAATTTACTCCAAGGTTCATTTTAATACAGAAAGTACAGGGTTTCTGTAATATTTTAAATGTCCTTGGGTTGCTAGAAGATTCTGGAATGCTACTAAACATAGTAGCAGTGTGGCAGCCAACCAATCAGAACCTCTGCATGTGACGTCTCGCTTCCTTGATATTTTTGGCTAAGACTTCAAGTAAACGCTGATTGGATGAAACGCTTCTTAGTGTTTCCTGATGCTTGCTTGTCTTTTGCAAGCAATTTTCTGGATCACTCCAACATAACATACCCCGGTAAACGTC